GAATAGAACCTAAGGGCAAGAGCTATGCAAGTCCCTGGAGCTGCCTCCATAGCTCCCCTGGCTGGGGCTTCCATCCTGCCTCTGTGGAGCGTTGCCTTGTCATTGAAAATGAGGATGTTGGGAAGTTTATGCATCCAGACTGGCATCCGACTTCTCTCCGCACAAGGGCTTCCCATTGAGATGGGGAAATGCCTTTTCTGATGGCCAATACGTGCTGGCCAAGTGTCTGCAACCCACAGAGAGGTCCTAACTCCGTCGTTTTCTCCTCTAGCAGCTCTTCTATGACCTTATCCCTCTCAACCCCTTTCTTGTCTCACAGGACTCGGGCTCTCTCATGCCTTGCCTCCCTCTTCCCCAGTGCTAAACCCTCCTTCCCAAGGATGGCAGCCGCCTCATTCCGCTATGGCATGACCATCACCGGGGCCGTGCTGCTGGTGACGGGGACGCTGTGCTTCGCCTGGTGGAGCGATGGGGAAGTGGGATCATCAGCCAGCACCGGCGCTCACCTCCTGCCTCCCCGGGAGGCCGAGGCCGTGCCCAGCTCCTCCTCCTCCAGCGCCTTGCTCCGCTCCATCAGCTTCTTCTGCTGCGGCATCGGCGGCATCCTGCTCCTCTTCGGGCTGCTCTGGTCCGTGAAAGCCAACGCCAGGGTGGTGTCCCGGCGCTACCAGTACCATTTCCCCAGGGACCTGCAGTACTTCACCGCGGAGCCCCCGGAGAAGTGGAACTGCAGGTGGGTCCCTGCATAGTGGTGGTGGGGGGAAGAAGGTGAGGGTGGGTTTGACCCAGCGCTGCCATGTACCAAAGCCTGCTCATGAGCTCAGATGAGCAGTAATGCCACTGTGCTGCCCCATTCTGGGCTCTGCTCCTGCTCCATAAGCAGATGCTCTTGGGGTGATGGTTTTAAACTGAAAGAGGGGAGATTTAGGCTGGACGTTCTTTACAATGAGGGTGGTGAAGCACTGGCACTGGTTGCCCAGAGAGGCGGTGAATGCACCATCCCTGGCAGTGTTCAAGGCCAGGCTGGATGCAGTTCTTCATCCAGTTGAAGATATCCCTGCTCATTGCAGGGGGTTGGAACAGGTGAGCTTTGAAGGTCCCTTCCAACCCCAACTATTCGATGATTCTATGGTCCTCCCCTCCCTGCAGGCACTCTCCATGCCCACACTGGCTGCTCCCGCATCCAGCTCAGCTGCAGATGGCTCTCTTTGCCCTGCAGGGCCATCACCAGCCGAGGCAGCATCTCCTTAGCAGAGCCACCAAGCAGAAAACTACATTGCTTTTCTGGAGGAAGGTCCGGATTTGGGGGGAGGGATTTGTGTTATCCAGACCTTCAGCTTTGAAACCTTCCCCAGCACCACAGTTCTGCAGTGCTCTGTGAGGACAAGGGGGTTTATGGCACCCTTAATGGAAGCAAAGTCTATGTTAAAAGGGAGTTAAAAGGCAAAAGGAGCAGGACAATAATCCTTGGATTGGCATTAAACTGGGAGCACAGGCAAAGAGTCCTTCTACAAAGCCTCTTTTGGGCTGTGGAAAGACCCCTCACTGCATGTTGTGTCCCCAGACTCCCCCTCCGTGAGCCTGACCTTTATTCCCACTTCTCCATGTAAAAGCTTTCTGATCAGAAGGGTTTCTTTTCCAGAGGCTGCTGTGGAAGCGGAGCCAGCCGGCCCTTCCCAGTGCTGCCCTACGGGGTCACAGCAGAGATCTTGGCTCCGGCATGAATCGGGCTCTGGGGAAAAGCAGCACAAAAAGAAACTCTCAAGAACATGAATCCATAAAAATTCATTGGGAGTGGGAAGCACGTTCCTGGTTCTCCAGGGGTTTCAATGCCCATCGGAGCATCCGGGGGTGAGAGCCTGAGCCGGGCTGATAGTCTGGGGAGGTTTCCTCCTCCCATGGTGGGCTTTGCTGGGCCTCCCATGAGGAATGTTCGCTTCCCAGAGCTCCCAGCTCCCATCCCAATGGGAAGGCAGCTTCCTGGCACTGCTGGAGCTGTGGCAGCTCCTCCAGCCCCAGCTGTGCTGGCACTCACTCAGCAAAGCATCCTGTGCTGGGAGAAACCCTCCTCTCCGCATTGCCAAGGCAGCATTCCTCTGTGAGCTGAGGCCATGGTGCGGATGCTTGGAGCGGTAGGTGTGGGATATGGGACTGCCAGTTCGGGATGGAGGCATCCCAGTGGAGCATCACAGCTTTCCCTTTGGACCAGCTGTGCCTCTCCAATACCCACAGCCTCCCTGAGCGCACAGCACTGGGTTTCTATGTGTGAAAGCAAGAGGATGCTGGGTTGCTTTCAGAGCCTCCTCGCCTTTGGGGCTGCACCCAGGGTGCTGAGCAGGACCTGGCACAGGGCAAAGGTTGGTGGAGGCTTTCCCTGTACACAAGCTGTGTTTGCTCAGCAAAGTGCTGCTGAAGTGGCTCCAGGCCGTGCATGGAGGGCTCTGGTGAGTGGGACCACATTGAATCGGGATGCCTGGTGCCAAAGTGCTCCTTTGGCAGCCTCTGTGCTTTGGGGGTGGCTTTGGGGTTGGGCAGGTGATGAGGATGCTCTCCTGCCCAGTGCAGTGCACAACTGGAGGGGGGGGCAGATGTCCCCAAAGCCTTCACCTCTGCTGCTTTGTGGTCATCACACCTGCAGCTGTAGCCCTTAATGCTGGAGGAGGCAGCTCTTCAAGGCTGCCTTGCCAGGCTGCCCTTCCTCTTGTTGGGTCAGGGGTTATAAACACAGTGGGAACGGGGTGATGTGACCTTGTCACAAGGTCTGATGGATGGTCCCTTCCTCCTGCATGTTTCCCTTCCCTTCTGGTGCTGGGAATTGGCTGACATGGGCTTGCCTTGACCCTGGGCATGCAAAACCTGCCCATGTGCCATCCCCAAAACACATGTGCCTATCATGCTCAGGGATGCTCCAGCAGATGGGGGAGGATGACGGCTGAGAGGCTGTGTGTTGATGGGACACAGAGATGCTCTGATTGATAGTGCTCCGGGATACTCTGGTTAATGAGCACCAGGATGCTCCAGTTGATGGGACATGGGGATGTTCTTGTTGACAGGGCTCTGAATTACTCCAGTTTATGGGTGCTGGGATGCTCCAGTTGATGGGTGCCAAGGTACTCCAGTTGATGGGTGCCAAGGTACTCCGGCTGATGAGGCTGTCCCTGCTTGATGGAGCACAAGGATGCTCTGGACAAGCACTGGGATGCTCCAACTGACCTGGTGCACTGCTGTGTTTCTTCCCTTGCAGCTCCTGGGACGCCAGCGCCATCCCCACCTATGAGGAGGCTCTGACCTGCAGACCTGCCCACGACACCGCAGCCTACATCCACCCGCCGGGGAGGAAGGAGGAGGAGGAGCTCACTCCGCCCCTGTACCGCTACCTGGAGGAGGACGAGGGCTGGCAGTGCGGCCGCCGGCGCAGCTCCTCCGACAGCGCCTTGTTCCGCCCCAGCCCGTCCTGGCTGGAGACCCAGGACCCGGGGGAGCCGCAGGCAACGCCTCCCCCCAGCTATGAAAACATCAGCGTGCGGGGGGTCTGAGCTGGGGGCTTCAAACCCAGCCCCTTCCTTTGCTTGTGGGTGAGGAGGGGAAAGGGTCTGCGGCTTCGCGGGCCGTCGGGATTGCGGGTCCCTTGGGAATGCGTTGGGAGCGGGGGGGGGGGGGTGTCACGGGCATGTTTGAAAGCCTTGGTGTTTGTAATAAAACCACTGCTGGTTGCACATGCTTTGCCCTCCCTGCTCTGAGCCTCCCTGGGGCTGCCCGCCCAGAGCAAGAGCAAGACCCGCAGCAAGACACAAGGAGTCTGGCAGAGAAAAAGCAGCCCCGTGCTGCCCCGTTTGCTCCTGCGCCTTTGCAATGCCCCTTCCAGCCGTATCCATCCCTTCCACCTTGCTTTCCCTGCACGCTGACTTCCCATGCATCGCTTCATTTGGTTTGGAGATGTTCAGTGGCTCGTGTGCGTTTTCAGAGCATCCAAGCGCGCTTGGTATTCCAGGCAGCATCCCATGAAGACACCCTGAGCACAGGGCACAGCCCCCTCCCTGCTTGCCACGGCCGGGTGTGCAACATTGCCCAGAGGAAACGTTATTTCTCCTTATTTTGGTGATTAAAATACATATAAGAGGGATAGGACAAGGGCAATGGGCTAAAAGTGAAATGGGAGATTGAGATGAGCTCTTAAGGCAGAAGCTCTTCCCTGTGAGGGTGCTGAGGCGCCGGCACAGGGTGCCAGAAAAGCTGTGGCTGCCCCATCCCTGGCAGTGCTCAAGGCCAGGTTGGACACAGGGGCTTGGAACAAGCTGCTCTAGTGGAAGGTGTCCCTGCCCGTGGCAGGGGTTGGAACTGGATGAGCTTTAAGGTCCCTTCCAACCCAAACCAGTCTGGGATTCTGTGGATGGACAACTGCCCCGGGGGCTGCTGCTGCTGGTTGCTCCATCCCACCAGAGTAATGAGCTGCTGCAGCCAGCACAAAACATTCTTTAGGATACAATAGATTGCTTTTCAGAAGCCGGGTACATGTGCTCCCGTGTGGGCAGCAAGCAAGGGATCAAACTGAAGGGGGATTAAATCCACCACCGCTGTCTGCTGTTGGATGTGTGGTGTGAAGGGGACACCTTTCAACGCTCCAGCTCCATCTTAAGCAAACGCAGGGCACGTGGACCAACCCCATTCCATCCTTCCCTGGCTTTAGCCTCCCCTTCACAGCCCCACTGCTGGCTCCCCAGCACCCTGTCCCAACCCACCAGCCTCCGTCCAGACCCCGGCGCGCTCCCTCCTTCCCTGCCGCAGCCCCGCAGCCCTGGAATACGTGCTGCATCCCTTTATTTGGGGCCCTGCCAGCTCCCATTACCTGGGGCTCTGCCAGCTCTGATTTATGCCCGAGCCCAGCTCCAGCCCCCAGAGCTGGGAAAGTCCCATTGTGCCCAGGCACCCTCCATGCCCCCCTCTCCCTCCCCATCCCTTCCCGAGGCTCGGGGTCCATCCGCGTTGTTCCCGCAGGGAAGGTTACCCGGACACGTGCCGGGCGGCTCCACTGGAGTGTGAACGGCGGCTCCGTGTTTGCATTCATTACAAACCCGTTAAGAACCGGCTGGCTCAGCCCTGGGCAGGACCGGGCTCAGCCCGCAGCCGAGCCGCAGCCTCCGGAGCAGGAAACCTCTCCTTGCCTTCCCCCCCCACCCCCCTGCCCCCGGAGGGGTGCTCAGCACCCGCAGCCGAACGGGCTTCCCAGCATCTCTCCTCGCCTGCTTCTCCCACCCGGAGCCCATGGCCGAGGAGAAGACCTTTCGCTACGGGTTCATCATCCTGGGATTCTTCCTGGTCATGACGGGGATGTTCATCATGAGCGTGGAGAAGCCCCAGATCTACATCACCTTCTGCGCCCTGGGCGTGCTGCTCGTGGCTGTGGGCATCACCTGGAGCATGTGCCAGTGCTACCCGAAGGTAGGGTCCATCCTGTCTCTGTGCCATCGGGGTGGGGGGCTCGAGGGCTCACCTGGGTTTGGGTTTGTAGCCTTGGGTTGCGCTTTGTTTTTTCCATCCATTGGCTGGGATAGAGGCAGATCCCAGGGGAAATCTGAGTGATCCAGAAGGGAAAGGGTTGGTGTTGGAGGCTTGTGCCCTGCTACGCCTCCCTGCTGATGCCTGCAGGATGCGGCCCCCCTCCCTCACCCCCTGTACCCCTGCACCTCCCCAAGCCTGGGGGCTTCAGTGCCAAGCAGTCAGTGAGGAACAAGCCCAAGGAAATCATCTCGTATTCATCTCTCCCATGCAACCCCCAAAATGCTGCTCCCCCCATGGGGATCAGGGTCTTGGTGGGCTCCCAAAGAAGGGGCTGTGGTGGTCATGGGTGCCAGAGGGTCCTGGCCCCCGAGCACACCCTCACCTCTGTGTCTCCTTGGCAGAGGGCACAGCAGAGCAGCCAAGCATCCCTGCCCTGGGACACAGGGCTGGCAGGAAAGGCTTTTCCCAAGGAGAGGCTGTGGCACTCACCTGGGAGCTGCCGGGTGGCCCATGGCCGTACCCCAAAGTGTGGGGTGGCACAGGGGAACCCAGCACCAAATGGAACCCCTGAGACCGTCTGGGTCCCCATGGACCAGGGTGAAGCTGACCCCAGCTCCCCCCAAAGCCAAGCTCAGCTCCAGTGAGGAGGCAGATGTGGCTTTGTCACCGTGCTCAGGGCTCAAGGACAGGGCACCCTTGGTGCTGTCCCGTATGGGCCCCGGGACCCCCCATGGCTCAGGGACACACATGACCCCCTGGAGACAAGGTGCTGAGAGCGGGGCCGTGCTGGGTTCATTCAATCCTCATTGATTTCCTGCAAAAAAAAAAAATCCATTTCCAAGCAAGTGTGCTGGGAAAAGAGCAAATTCCAGGTGAAGGGACACTGTCCTGAAGGGACACGGTCCCTTTCAGTGCTAACAAGGGCCGAGGGCCCCCTCGATACCCATCGTAGGGGAATGCATTTCTTTCCCCTCCCCAGATAACATTCATCCCTGTGGACCTCGAGGCTGAGCGGTTCCTGGAGCACAAACCCATCGTGCTGCTGGACAAGGACACCCGGTAGGTCCCAGCACCCTGCCCCGGGTTTCCCGTTGGCGGCGGTTTACCATCGGTACACACCGCTATCTGTGTGCCTTCGGGGACAAGGGCAGTGTCCGAGCTCACTGGCACTGGGGACAGCTACACCTATTGCAGCAAAGGATGACAAGCAGGGGCCTGGGTGCGGGAGGCAAGGGATGAATGAACCCCCCCCACCCCAGGGCTGGAGCCTGAGTGATGCTGAGGGCTTCAAAGCATCCGGATGTGTTCTTGTGGGTACCACCTGCAAGGACTCACGGGCTCTGCTGCTGTGATGTGGCCTCGGTGGCCCCTGGAGCACTTGATGGTGTCTTGAGTTCATGTCCCTGAGCATCTCCATAGGGGTCCATGTCCTGCTCATCACCCCCCGTCCCTCCTTCACCCCACAGCTCGCTCGCACCCGGCACCAAGCAAGAGGTCAGCGATGCCTATGAGAAAAGCCTGCCCTCCTATGAGCAGGTCCAGAGGCAGGGGGTGGGCTCGGCCCTGCTCCCCCCTGCCCAGCACAGAGCCCACGCCTGCTCCCAGCCAGCCCTGCAGGCCAGAGCAGAGGTGCACCAGGAGCTGGGGGGCACTGGGGACCCCCCCAAAGAGCTGTCCCCTCAGCTGGAAGCAGCGCCCAGCAGCTGGTATGTGATGCTCGTGGGATCGGGATGTGGGGTGAAACTGGGGGGGGGGTTGGACCTCTGGTATGGAGGGAGGGAGAGGAGGAAGAGGGGTCTTTGCTGCTTGCACAGCCCTGACCCCCTTGGAATTCCAGCCCTCAGCCCATGGGGAGCCTCAGCACCAGGTTGTTTACTGGAAGGAAATCTGAATTGCTTTTGGTTGTAGATTGCATTTTGCTTTTATTTCAGTTTATAAATATAAATACAAACAATGCCTCTCACTGGAATAAATCCCAAATTCCTGGTCAGACATAGACAGAAATGAGATGCTCAGTACATATCCTTCAGATCAGACGCCACATCTGATGCTCATGCATTGGGTTGGGAAGTCCCAAAAGTGCTTTGCAGGCAATGGGGGCCACCATTCAGCACTGGGATGTAAGACTTGGGCACCTCCTCTACCAAAGTGCAGCTACAGGTGGGATGGGAGGCTCTGCTTTCTCCCTGGCGCAGCACGCAAGGGGAATCACTGCTTCATCCCATGGGGAGAAGGAGCAACCTGCAGGCAGGTTATCCCCATAAAGGCAGGCACTGGGGGCTGAGATAGGGCCCCAGCCACCCATTAAGGGGACTGGTGATGCTGGGACCGTGCTGCTGGTCCAGCAGCCCCCGTCTCCAGCTGTGTTTAGTGCAACCCCTCATCCCCATGCTCCCGCAGCCCATCCCGGCCGGCGCTGGGGCCCGCGCCGCTGGCATCCCTCCTGGAGGACATGGACACGCCGTCGCTGGAGGGCTCCGTGCCCAGCAGCCCCGTGCCACGGGGCCGGACCCTGCCATCCACCCGCTCCGGCTGCACCCCGGCGGGGGCACAGCACCCCCATAAAGGCACCACAGAGGAGGATGACCTCTATTATGGGCTGCCGGAGGGGCCGGATGCTCTGCTCAAGGATAACGACTGCCTTTTTGAGCCTGAAAACTGATTTCCTGGAGGGAACGGATGCTTGGCATGGACTCAGCTCATGGAGGGGACACAGATGTCACAGCCTGGAAGAAAGGGGCTTGGGTTGTCCCCCAAAAGAACAGTACCTGCAGCGTGGAGGAGCCCACGGACCCCTGTGCCGTGCTGCACCCCTTGTGCCCACCCAGATGCTTGGGAGGATGCCATCCGTCAGAACCCAAGGGGAGCATGGCCACATCCTTCTGGAACCCATTGGGTGGACAGGTGAACGCTGGGCTGGGCAGGATCTGGGCTAAATAATGTGCTTGGGAAGGGAAAGCATCAGCTTTGTGATGGGTGTGCAGGTGGGTAAAGGTGTCCTCACCCCAGGCAGGCTTTGTGAGGCAGAGATGTCCAAAAAGACTTTTCCCCACCCATTAAAGCCTCCTGGAACTAAAATCAGATCCTGAGACCCCTGCAGCAGCAGCCTTCACGCTGGGAAAGGGTGATGGGGGGGCAGGCTGCTAGCAGCACACAGTCAGCAGTGAGAGCTGTGACCTCTGCCTGCCTTCTGCTGCTGGGGGCCGTGGGGATCTGCCTGGCTGAGCCTCTGCAGAGCATCTGCGCTCGGATCAAAGCACCAGCGGGTCCAACAGTGCAGGGATGCTGAGTCCCTCGCCCTGCTCTGGGAGAGCTGGGGTGGATGCTGCAGCCCCAGGAGGTTTGGGAGCACGCGTGTGCTGGTAGAGCAGTGCTTCAGTGCCTTGAATCCTGTGTTCAGTTCTGGGCCTCTCACTATAAGAGAGACATTGAGCGGGCCAAGGAAGGGCCATGGAGCTGGTGCAGGGCCTGGAGCTCAAGTGTGATGGGGAAGGGCTGAGGAACCTGGGTGAGTTTAGTCTGGGGAAGAGAAGGTTCAGTGGGGACATTATTGCTCCCTACAACTGCCTGACAGGAGGATGGAGCCAGGAGGGGCTGGGTTCTGCTCCCAAGGAACAAGGGATGGGACAAGAGGAAACGGCCTCAAGCTGCACCAGGGGAGGTTTAGACTGGGTGTTAGGAACAATTCCTTCCCCAAAGGGTGCTCAGGCATTGGAACAGGCTGCCCAGGGCAGGGCTGCAGTCACCGTCCCTGCAAGTGTTCACACACCACGGAGATGAGGCCCTCAGTGCCATGGGTTAGTGGTGACCTTGGTAGTCCTGAAGTGAGGGTTGGACTTGATGATCTTAAAGGTCTTTTCCAACCTAGCTGGTTCTATGATTCGGCAAATTTATGTGGGTTGATGAGCCCAAAGGCAGGGGCAAAGCTATCCCCCGGCACCTGAGGGGAATGGAGGATGGGAGCTGTGGAAACAACGCTCCCCATCCTTTCCTGCACTGGGGGGGTGGGGACAACCCAGGGCATTGCAAGACATGGCTCTGCCTGGAGCCTCGCTTCTTCCTGGTGCTCCTGCAGCTCCCCTCCACGTCACCGCAGTGCCAAGGGGAAAAGGGCAGGCAGCACCCCACGCTCTCTGGTGTTTATGGGCAACAGGAGGGTGGGGAGCGAAGGTGTTTGCGAAACATTGCCGGCTGGACTGGGAGCAGCTGCCCGAGAGGAAGCGTTACCCAATTGTTTACACTTGCTCGGCTCCTGCCTGTCCTTCCCGGCATGGGGGGGGGGGAGCATGACGGCTGCAGGGATGCTCATGGAGGTCTGGAGGGTGCCTGGGGCAGGATGCTGCTCTGACTCGAGGGTGGGAGCTGTGTATAGAGCTTCTGCCTATCTCCTGTCCTGGACTCTACCGCTTATGGCCAAAGAAACTTCATTTTTCCAAAGCTTTTAATTGGGAAGGAGCAGGGGAGAGGGCTGGGATGGGGACCAGAGCATCTCCACCCCCCCAGAGCCCCCTGGATTTGGGTCCCCGCATCCCCCGTGAAGCATCCCTGCCGTGCCTAAGGGTGGGATGACCGCCGTGCAGAGGTTGCCGGAGCCGAAGTGCTCAGCTCGGATGGAGGTTAAACATTGTGAGAAGCGGGACATTCCTGCATGGCATTAGAGCTCCGAGAAGCGCAGGGCCCCGCCGCCCGCCCGCTGCAGCCCTATGAGGGTCACGGTCACGACACGGGCAGGGACGGGCCACGCATCCCCCAGGACCGCTGCTGTCGCGGAGACCTCACTGGGGGACTGGAGGGGAACGGGATGTGGAAGGGATGGGAACGGGATGGGGACGGGACGGGGACAGGATGGGGACGGGACGGGAAAAAGAAGGGATCCCGCTGCCACTGCTTGCTGCTGTCGCCATTGATGCTGCTCAGCCGAGACGAGGGCATCAGCCTCGCAGCGCACCAGTGGTGTAGTGGTATCATGCAAGATTCCCATTCTTGCGACCCGGGTTCGATTCCCGGCTGGTGCAAAAGTATTCGAGTTTAGGGCTCTGGAGTGTTATCTCAAAGAACAAAATTGTACTGAATTGTCCTAAACCCTCAGGGCTGCACATTTTGCCTCTGGGGCTTCCCATCCCAGCATCACCCTGACTTCTGTGGAGGACCGCTCCAAGCCCCCCTGGTGTTGGAGGGCAGCAGGGGATTTAGGGGCCTCTTTGCCCTTGTTGGGGTCTCCTCTGTTACCTTTCCTGCTCTCTTCTTCCTCCCCCTTCAACAGGACGCAGGCACAGCCGGAGGGTACCGCTGCTCTGCAGCAGCAGGAATTGCCTCGAGTAGTGACCCCATGTGCCAGCATGGCAATCAATCAGATCTCTTCTCTACAAGGGGCAAGTTTGGGGCTATTTCTGAATATATCTTCATTAAAAATACAGTATTTGTTCAGATATCCCCTCCTTCCAGAGGGCTGCGGGGCTGCACATCCCTCACACCCCCTGCACAGGCACTGGGGCTGGGTATTCATGGCAAGACCTCCCCAGGTTGCTCAGCATGTGAGGGTATGTGCAGGGCTCGGGGGGGCTTTGCCACCTTCACCCGCCTCCTGGGCTCTCTCCATCCATGCCTTGGAAATGGCTTGTTCCCTGTGCAAAAAGAAAGTGAGCGACTTTGGAGGGAGCAGGGGACTGTCCCCTTCGAAATGGGGCTCTCCAGTGTGAAGCTGCCCTGAAGCGTCATAGAACCATTGAATTGGTTTGTGCTGGAAGGGACCTTAAAGCTCATCCAGTTCCAACCCCTGCCATGGGCAGGGACACCTTCCACTCGAGCAGCTTGCTCCAAGCCCCTGTGTCCAACCTGGCCTTGAACACTGCCAGGGATGGGGCAGTCACAGCTTCTCTGGGCACCCTGTGCCGGTGCCTGAGCACCCTCACAGGGAAGAGCTTCTGCCTTAGATCTAACCTAAATCTGTCCTCCATCATCAGTTTAAAGCCATACAGACCCATATAAAACATATAAACGCATATAAACCATGCACATCGTTGTAAAACGTATATATCCATGTAAAGCATATACATCCATATAAACCATTTACATTTATATGCATCCATATAAAACACGTACATCCATATAAAGCGTATACATCCATATAAAACACATAACCTCCGAGGAGCTTACAGACAGCTAATAAACCCCACTAAACCCCCATTTCCCTCGAAAGCAGGGAAGGGGAAGGGCTTTGCTGAAGGTCACCAGGGATAGCGGGGCCCCATGGGAGCCCGGCGCTGCGGGAGGGGAGGGCTGGAAAGCAGTGGTGAAGAGCCATGGGAAAGCACCAACCTCACCCCCGGTGCTTGCTCTGCGTGACGAGTGTGTAAAAAATGCCCAAACGGGATTAGAGGCTTCCATGGAAATTTACCTCTGAAGTAACCCAGCGAGAGGCACATGAAAGCCTGCTCAAAATAGCCCCTGGGTGCCTGCGCTGAGCTCCCTTCGGGGCACTGCGGCCCCGGGGGACCCCTCACCCCCGGGTAAAGAGCCCTCGCCCCGTTCCCGTTAATGGTTAACCCGCACGGGTGGGCCGATGGGGCCGGCGGTGGTGGCGTGATCCCCGCCCCGCCGCGCCGAGCCGAGCCGAGCCGAGCCGCGCCGGGTAAAGCGGCGGCCGCGCTGGGACCGCGGGGTTCCGCGGCTCTGCGGGCGTCGGGCCGGGCTGCGGGCATGGCCCCGCGGGCGCTGGCGCTGCTGCTGGCGCTGCTGCTGGCGCGGGCGGCGGCGGAGCTGGCGGAGGAGCTGGTGCGGGAGCTGGGGGACGCCGAGGAGGAGGCAGCGGCCGTCGGGGCCGCCCCGCCGGGACCCGCCGCTTTCCACCGCGCCGCTAAGGTGACACCGCGACGGCGGCGGAAAGGAGGGGAGGTGGGAGGGGGGGAAGCGGGTACGGGGGTGTGTGTGTGTGTGTGTGTGTGTGAGCCCAGACCGAAGCGCTGCGTCCCCGCAGGCGGCTTGGCGGCTGCCCGGGCGGTACGTGGTGGTGCTGCGGGCCGGCAGCGGAGGGGCCGATGTGCGGGGCACGGCGAGGAGGCTGCAGGCGCGGGCGGCTCGGCGAGGGTACCTGAGCGAGCTGCTGCACGTCTTCCACCTCCTGCCCGCCTTCCTGGTGAAGATGAGCAGCGACGTGCTGGACATGGTGCGTGGGGCGGCGGGGCGGGTGGAAGGAAGCTCCAGTGTAGGGGGGTATAGGAGTGTGGTCACACAGCGCCGGGCGCTGGGTCTCCTCCCGCAGGCGCTGAAGCTGCCGCATGTGGAGTACGTCGAGGAGGATGCATGCGTCTTTGCACAGAGCATCCCCTGGAACCTGGGCAGGATCGTGCCGCCGCAGCCCGGCTCGAGTGCCTACAGCCCTCCCAGTAAGCGCTGGGGCATGAGGAGGAGAACCATGGGGATATAGGAGCATCCCAACTGGGACTGGGCTGACCATGGTGGTGGTTTCCTTCCTGTCCCCATCCTGGGCTGTGTCCCTGGTAGATAAAGGTGACCTGGTGGAGATTTACCTGCTGGACACCAGTGTGCAGAGCAGCCACCGGGAGATCGAGGGCAGGGTGCTGGTGACTGACTTTGAGAACGTCCCCGAGGAGGATGGCACCCGCTTCCATCGGCAGGTGAGCACCGACGTGCCACAGCCCGGCAAGAGCATTCCCCTGCACCCACTAAATCCTGGTCGGGCTTGTGGGGCTTCCCAGGACAAGAGAGACACTTGGCTTGTGGCAAAATGCTGGGCAGGACATGCAGGAGCGGGAGCTGTGGTCCTGGGGGATGTTGGGACCTCAGTTTGGAGTGTGGCTGAGCCTGGGGAAAGCAGTTTTGGAGTGTATGGGTGCATGTCAGGGTGTCTTTGTAAGAGGGAACTGAGGTCCACTCCACACCCGGGTCCAGGGCCTGTGCCCTGCAGTGGATGCTAGTGCTGCGTTGCATGGCTTTATCACTGCTTGCATTAAGGAGCCCAGTGGGAGCACAGCCCTGGGGACGGCTCCCTGCATCCCTGTCCGTAAGGATTTATTCTTCAGCGGGGTTTAGCTGGCGCAAAGCACAAGGGGTGGGATGGGGCTGGGGAGGACGCTGTGGGGTTGCAAACCTGCTTTGATGCGATGAGCAGAGGTGTTAAAGCCGTGTTGCCTGCCCCAGGCCGGCAAGTGTGACAGCCACGGGACACACATGGCCGGGGTACTGGGCGGGCGCGACGCCGGCGTGGCCACGGGTGCCAACATCCGCAGCCTCCGTGTGCTGAACTGCCAGGGGAAGGGCACGGTCAGCGGGACCCTCATCGGTGAGTCACGGGCGCGCTCCCTCCGCCTCATCCCCATCCTGTGATGGTTCCCATCCCTCTTCTTGTCCCTTCCAGGCCTGGAGTTCATCAAGGCAGCGATGGAGGCTCAGCCCTATGCACCGCTGGTGGTGGTGCTGCCCTTCGCCGGTGCCTACAGCCGCGTGCTCAATGCCGGCTGCCGGCGGATGGCGCGGATCGGGGTGGTGCTGATTGCGGCTGCCGGTAACTACAAGGATGATGCCTGCCTGTACTCACCAGCATCCGAGCCAGAGGTACGGGCTGTGGGGGTCCCTGGGCTTGTCCAAGTTGGCTGGGGTTGGATGGGACCTTAAAGCTCATCCAGCTCCAACCCCTTGCCATAGGCAAGGACACCTTCCACTAGAGCAGGTTGCTCCAAGCCCCATCCTGTCCACATCTCCCTCTGTCACTGCCCTCGCAGGTCATCACGGTTGGTGCTACCAACAGCGAGGACCAACCCGCCTCCATCGGCACCCTGGGCACCAACTTTGGCCGCTGCGTGGACCTCTTTGCACCAGGGGACGACATCATTGGTGCCTCCAGCGACTGCAGCACGTGCTTCACGGCGCAGAGTGGGACGTCACAGGCGGCTGCGCACGTGGCGGGTGAGCTGGGCTGCAGGGTGGCAGCAGGGCTGGCCCTCCACTTGCTGGTCCTGGGTGCATGCCCCTGCCTGTGCTGGGGACACCTTTGAGTGTTATAGTGCCTTGGGGTTGGCAGGATGGGTGCTACAACCTGCTCAGAGCTCCTGCATCCCATGAGTGCGGGTAATGGGTTGCAGCGATTCCTTCTCCTGTCCCTTTTGAGTTGTGCTGCTCAGAGGTATTGTGGCCCCTTGTGCTCACTGTGACCCCCGGGCTCTCCACAGGCATTGCTGCCATGCTGCTCAGCGCCGAGCCCCAGCTGAGCCTCGCCGAGCTCCGGCAGCGCCTCCTGCACTTCGCCACCAAGAACGTCATGGATGTGGCCTGGTTCCCTGAGGAGCAGCAGCTCCAGACACCCAACAGCGTGGCTGGGCTGCCCACCCGTCTGGGTGCAGGTAAAGACCTCACTGCCTGCTGGGTGCTCGGCAGGAAAAGAAGCACCTGGGTGAAAGCAATATGGTTTAATGCAAGGTGTCCCTGCCCATGGCAGGGGGCTGGAACTGAATGACCTTAAGGTCCTTTCCAACCCAAACCATTCTGTGGTTCTATGGCAAGGCACTTTCCTCACTGAGCTGTGCCGGGGATGGCTGAGCCCAAGCGCAGCTCCATGCAGAGGGCAGGGGTAGACCTGGCAGCGTGGCTGGGTGCTGGGTGCTGCTGTGGGTGCACTGCCCCCCATGTTCCCACTGCAGGGGAGCAGCTGTACTGCCGCTCGGTGTGGTCAGCGCGCTCGGGGCTCACCCGGCACGCCACGGCCGTGGCTCGCTGCACCGGCACCGAGGAGATGCTCAGCTGCTCCAGCTTCTCCCGCAGCGGCAGGAGGCTGGGCGAGCACATGGAGGTGAGCAGAGCGTGTGGGGACTCGGCATGGCCCTGGGGTGCCTGCTGGCCTCAGAGGGGTGTCCTCAGGCCAGGAGCACCCCGGTGATGCCGTGCTGCCCCTGCCATAGGAGAAGGACAGGCAGAAGCAGTGCGTGGCACACAATGCTTTCCGGGGCCAGGGTGTCTATGCCATCGCCCGGTGCTGCACATGGCCTAGGGACAAGTGCCAAATCAACGCCAGCTCCAGGGTGGCTGAAGGGGCCGGCTGCTCCCCGAGGGACCACGTGCTGACCGGTAACACAGCGGGTTACAGAGCCTCGAGCCTACAGCCTGATGGCCAAGGGGGTTCTTCCTGAAGAGCGTTGGGACCTGGGTGGCTCTGAGTGCTTGGGATGATGGGGAAGGGGGATGTGTGCTGCATGGAGGTGGGGAAGGATCAGGGAACATCCTTTGGTGATGCAGCACTGGGATGCTGGCACGGGCACCCTGTGCCAACTGCCCCTCTCCTCTCACAGGGTGCAGTTTCCACTCACCCATTGCAGCACTGGGTGACAGTGGCAGACCCGTTGCAGGGCTGGAGAGGGAGCCCAGGCACTGCACCAGCAGGACGGAGGTGATGGCGCATGCCTTGTGCTGCCCTGCTGCCAGCCTTGAGTGCCGGGTGAAGGAGCACACATCCCTGGATGCTGTGGAGAAGGTAGGGATAGAATCATGGAACCTTGGAATGGTTTGGGTTGGAAGGGACCTTAAAGCTCATCCAGCTCCAACCCCTGCCACATGCAGGGACACCTTCCACTAGAGCAGCTTGCTCCAAGCCCCTGTGTCCAACCTGGCCTTGAACACTGCCAGGGATGGGGCAGCCACAGCTTCTCTGGGCACCCTGTTCCAGCGCCTCAACACCCTCACAGGGAAGAACTTCCTTATACCTACCCTGTGTCTCCCCTGTTGAAGGATGGTGCATGCTCCTCTCTAATGGTGTCCTCATCTCTGCTTGTCCTTTTGCTGCCCTAATGGGGTTTGGGTTGGCTTTGGCACCCCAATCGGTGTGCCCAGTTGCTGACCTGTACTGGGACAACCTCAGCTGGGATTGCTCTGTGTGACACTGGCTACATCACCCTGAGGACCACGAGGGACGGGCAGACCCTGTCCCTTTGCTGACCATGGAGATGACCTTTTCTCCCCCATTAGGTGACTGTGTCCTGCGATGCCGGCTGGACGCTGACGGGCTGCAATGCCCATTCCCAGAGCCCGGGCACCATGGGAGCCTACGGCGTGGATGATGCCTGCGTGGCAGCCGGTGTCCCTGGCACCAGCACCGCTGTGGTCATTGCCATTTGCTGCCGCAGCCGGCAGTAGGGATGGGCTGAGCTGGAGACACGTGCCCAGCAGGGCAGGGCTGGACCATCAGTGCCCATCTCAGAGCCTCCCCAAGGCTGAGCTGCTGGCAACCTCCGGGCTTGGGCTGCTGTGATGGTGGGGTACAAGCTCATCACCCTCTTGCATAGCAGGGCTGAGGCCCAGGCTGGCTTTGTAAGAGGTCTCCAAGCAGCCCCTTCGCAGGCCTGCTGCATCCCAGGAGTGATCCCAGCATCCTTCCCAGGTCTATGAACACCCCAACTGTATGAGCCATCTCAAAGCTGTTTGCATTATCACCCAGCATGACAAACCCCTCTAGCTTTAAAACAGCAATCCCGTGGTGAGGACTGCTCCTTTCTTTCCTCCTTAGTTGCTCATTACATGTCAGTCAATGCCGCTTTGCACCTGGACAATCATAGTTTAGCTATTTTGGGACAGTTTTGTAATTGCTCACCCATCTACCTAGGAGAATCGATTGCTTTTTAGTCAAGTGTAAGGGCTCTAGTTCAACCAGCCTGCTTGTTTGATTAGATTTTAATCTGCATTGCTACAGTCAGCTACTGCTTTGGTAGTGGGGTTTTTTGTTCTTAAGGCAATGATCTGTTGGTGTTCTGCTTTGCTTCCACAGTTTCCCTTTCAGGTCTTCCCGAGACACCCAGAAGCGGCTGTAATTCCTTTAAAAGACAAGCAAGAACAAAAAGCTCCCGTTGTAGCGTGGTTTTTACGTTTGTACCTTCAATATTTATTTGGAATTTTATAAATAAACATTTTATAAACGTCTTTTTAAAATAAAACTCACAGACCAGTGCTCAGTAGATCCGATCCGTTGTGTGGCTTCATGTACACCCCATGGGGAAGCAGTGTGCAAGGGGGAGATGACACCCACCACCAGGCAGGGATGCTGCTCCCCCAAAACGAGCCCTGATCCCTGCCTGGGGTATAAAGTGCCCCTGGGTGACCAATGGCCCCCTCAGAGGTCAGTGCAGACAGCGTGGGCAGCCTCCTGCTGGCTCTAGGACTGGAGCAGAGCCCAGGGGCTGAGCCGTGTTGCCCCATGCACATGCAAGAAGAGAACAGTGGGAAGAGCTTCCAGTTATGGAAACAAACCATGACCCAGCTTTCGGGAACGTGCCCTTGTGCTTCTTGTTGCTGTTGCTTAACACTGGGCTTCACTCTTGACAAGCATCAAAGCCCCATGAAGAAGATAACGCAGAGAAGCTCTGAGGGATGCACAGCAGCAGACACAGGCTCAGAAGTAGCAGAAGCTGGGCTCACTTTGTTTTCAGTGACTAGCAGCCTCCTGGTACTGCAATATGTAATTAGTGTGGTGTTACCTAAGGAGAGATGTAAAACTAAAGCACCAGGTTAACCTGTCAAACTATGGCTATTCGGGGGTGGGCATTTGTCCCCTATCAAAAACACCCTTACAGATCATTACTCCAGCTTCGTCTGGCAGGAGGAGACAGAGACCCAGTAGGAAGCACCGCTCTTTGAAAGGTTGCAATGATTTCTAGCTTGTTACCTCACGATGGCAAGAGCCCAGCCCTAATCTAATCATGTAATTATATAATATGCATATAATTACAGCCCATAATTTCATCAGCTATAATCTGAGCTCCGCACAAAGAGGTGGAAAAGAATAAGGGATGTTACAAGAGCTCCTGAGGAGCATTGACACAGCTGGTAATTTCTCAGCAGACTTACTAGTGCTTAAACCTCTCAAAACACACATCAGGTATTTCACCTCTGCTGACGTCCCTGCGAGAGGGGAGGATGCTGCTGCCTGCTCCCAGCACAAGCTGTGAGCACATTCCACATACAGTAAGCCAGGCAGAGCTTTTGCAGCTTAGCTCAAGCATTCATAAGCCTGATGGAAGGAAACAGTATTAGGAGATCAGTCCTTGCTTAGTATTGGGTATAGGGGTAGGCAGAAAAGCCTTTCCAGTCAGAAGGCAGCCCTAAGCCCAGGGATGCTGCAGATAGTCCTGTCAGCACAGCATGCAATACCCAGTCTATGCTCCCATGACTGGAGAGCACAGGCTGGGTTGTGCTTGAAACACAGAAGTCCTTGTCCTTAGGGTGGAAGTCAAAGGCAGAGCCTTGAAGTCAGCTCTGTCTGAGCTCCTAGTTCTGCTTATGAAGGCAGCATAGGTGAGCAGGACACTGTAGCACAGCTGTGTGTCCAGTGTTCGGCACCTCACAAGAGGCAGCATTAATTCAAGCCCAGCTCACCTGCAAATCTTAGTATCTGACACATAAAAGCCAGTCTAATCCATGACAGCAAGTGTGGGTAAATCACTCTGCTAAGAAGGTCAGGAGAAGAAACTGCACAGAGATACAAATCCGACAGGGCACGTGAACATGCTATGGCATAAGGATATAGGCTCCGGGAGGCCACTCAGCTGCTTTGATTTACTCTGGACAGGAACCAAAATGGGAATCACAGCAACCTCTCAGAGCTTATCACCTGCCGGACTGGCTTAAGAGGTTTCAAGATAAGAGGATCACCAAGACAACAGCGTAGCAGTGTGTGCGCAGTCTAAAGATTACACTAGTTTTCTGTGAAAGGAATAACTTTATTCCATTGACCAGGAATCCCAAGACTGTTCATCAAGACTGCCTATTTTTTTCCAGTGCCAAATGTCTGCATGTATGAATTGGACAGTATCTCCCAAATGCTCACAGGCGGGCTGTGGCTGCTCTTCACTGAACATTGTGTAAGCTGTATAAAAACATTTTCATCCAAAAAGATTGGCAGTAAAAATTACAACATAGAAATGCATCACAATTTACACAAAAACTAGTTTTGTTGAACTCTATTTTCCAAAAAATAATCTTCAGCAGGTTCAAATGACAGCAGCTGGAAACAAAAAATAATGGACCAAGTATCATCTTATTGCAAATTATAACCATTGACTTTGTACAAGCGTGAGCAGAGCCATGAAAAAGTTTGTATTGGTTTCAAGTATACAGTGGTGATGAGCCATCCCGATGCAATTCTCTTAGCAATGCTTCCCTGGGGCCCGTGGTGAATCGAGGACGTTGTTTCCATAGGAAATAACAGGAACCTGAAGTGCCAAGTGGTGCCAACCCTTAGGAACGTGACCAGCTTCTTCCATCACTGCTGCGTACTCACTTCTCGTGATGACCCATTAACACAGTATTAGGGGTAGGGAGGGAAGGAAGAAGGGGTTATCTGTTGAGAAATGAGTTACCCAAAATTAAGCGAAAACATCACATTTAAAATGTCCCAGCACATGATCAGAAACATTTATAAAACGCTAACTCTGCCACGTGTCTATGAAGACGTGGTTGGGAAAAAGAAAGTGAGAGGTTCACTACAATGCCACCCTTCCTTCTTTTGCACGTGCAGTTGATGACAACGGCTCCCTTGACCCGCAATAAGTTATAAAGCTGTACAGCTGGAATCAGATCCAATGGTTACTTCCAACAGTGAAATGACTGGTTAATTTCAATATTAGTGCACAGGAGTGAAAAGCTGTCTGCTGCTGCTGGTTTCAGCAGCGGTATGTAAAAAGGAAAAGAAAAAGGCACTTTTTGGCTGGTTGTGCCTTTAACTTGGCAAATTTCTCTCTTCTGGAGGTACCCAGGCACTCCTTAAGATGTCCCCCATTTCTGTGCATGTTTGTTCCTAGAATTTTTCTTTTAAAGTAAGGCAGAATCCATAAATAAAGGCAAAAAGCAGTGCAGAAAATGCAACAAACGCAAAATGTACAACAGATGAAGAGCTGTATGGCACAGAAAGAAGCTTACATCCAGAGCCAGAAATCACTGAACTGCACTTGACATGGAAAACAAAACTGTGCTCAAATCATCCCAACTGGTTTCCAGTTGTTTCTGAGCAAACGAAAAGAGCTGTGGTATTTTAAACGTTGCCTGGTCAAGTGAAAAATATACAAAGAAAGCCAAATCATTCTTTCCCCGTGTTAAAATTGCTATAAAACCTGCACAACAGTGTCTCCAACTCACTCCAGGAATTATTCATCATATACAACCAATACCAACTTCCTCAGTAATTTCAAAGCACAAGCAAGTGATTGCAGATCCATGACCCAGACTGTGTTTTATTCAATATGTCTCCATAGCGTAAAAAAAATTTAATGAGTAAAACTGCAACAGAATTCCATCTTAAAGTGCTTTTTTTTTTCTTTTGAAGTACTCATTAACTTTTTTCTTCTTCTTTAAATTGACCTTTAATAATAAAGACTTGTATGCCTACAGCACAAAGCTTTGCTTTTATGGCCCTTCCCAATCGCCTGTGGTTTTGGAAGGGTACCAGAAAACATGACCCATTCCAGAGCTCCTTGACCAAGCCATTCTGTTCGGATCACTCTCCTTACAGAGCAATCTTGCTGAGCCTTCTCATCATGAGCTTTACAAATTAGCAGGGAGACATATTAAATAGAGAAGTCCTTATGTAAACCCATTCTTCAACTAATATTTTACAATGAAATGTAAGTCATCACACATCTTCACAGAAATTGGAATATTCCTATTCAGTATCATCAGAAAGATTAAAAATCTGCCCTCCATACGTAAGGGCAACCTGTTTGTTTTTGTTCTTTTTTCTTGTTTTCCTGTATAAAAACCAAAAGAAGGATTTTGTTTTGCAGCATTACAGAAAAGCAACAGTTTTACATTCACTCATTTAATGTTCACATAAAAATTCAACCACTAGCGTTTGTGTATTTGAGAAAATCTTCTTGACCAACTGTTTTCGGTGTCTGGACTGTCATAAAGCTACTGCAGGCGAAGATGCAGTTTTCTAGAGCATTTATTGATCTGAAGCCTTCGTGGCTAAAGAATGCTTTTAGCTTTCAGGGAAACCACCTCCTCCAGCATTGCCTCCGATCCTACAAAGCCACATCTCTTCCAGACTGTTCTAATGGCATAAGCAACGGGACTCCAGTTTCAGTAGGTACCAGGCATTAAATGTTTTGAGTGGAGCTGTTCTTGTGTTCATAGGTATCCTCTATGGGTCAACATCGTCAAGGTCACTTTTAGGCTCACCAATCATCATAGGAGACTCTGAGCCCTTTCAATACACACAAGGGATGGGGAGAGAAAGATATGGCACGTTACTTTCTAAGGTACGTAGTTACTGTGTCTGCATTCAGTGATGGTTCTGACCCAATCCCCAGGATCAAGCTGTCTAACAAAGCAATGCAACAGAAGATAAACATGCCCTCATTTGATTGTTACCTGCTGCAGATGCCTCTCCCCGTTCTCGTTGGCTGGACTACTTTCTGACCCATTACTGCTTCCAGACTGATCTTTCTCGTTTAGCAAGGCTGTGGCATAGGCCAGGGTGTCCTGGGTTGGAAAAAGTCCAAAAGAGTGTAATGAGCCATGGTCATACCTTCATTTCATAATATATTTTGTTCTTAAAGTTGATTCTGAAACAATACAGCTGCTGTATGAGATGGCTGAGTCACCACAGGTTATTGGGAGGTATTGACTAACATCATTCAGCAGTTAGTTTTTCCAGGAATAAGCCCAGGGTCTGGCCTTCCAAAGGAAAAATGGTCTTAAGTGCACTGGAATACGCTAAAGTTGCCAAAACCAAAGATACTGACTGAAAAGCAAAAAAGGAAATAAACCAAGTTTAACATCATCTCCTCAAGAGTGACACATACCTGTGCTGAAATAGTGCGCTGGAAGGTTTTTGCCGTTGATGTTTCATTGGATACGTTACTCTGTGGAGCCCAATAATGTTCAGACATCTGCATAAAAAGGCAAGAAAACCACAAAATTGCTGTATGAGTTCTACATGTGTAAAGCCTCATCCACTTGT